AGATAAGTTTTGAGGCAACCAATATAAAGCGCTCACAAACGATGGCTTTATTCACACCACCTGATCACCCAAATATTACAAAACACTTTCAAATATACAACCCATATGCATGGAAAACATGGAAAAGTAGTGTTGCAGCACTCTTTGCAAAAAGCGTTTGGAGCGCGTTTTCTAGGCGTCAAACATGCTATAATGCGGAAAGAACAAAAAAATCATGTTTTTTTAGTTGGTTTTTGTACTCAAGTATGGTTTCAAATAAGTCATATTCAAATAGTCAATAAAAAAAAAAAGAAACTCCAAATTATAAAACATAAACTTTTTGAACAACACAATCACCCAGAAAAAAATGAAAATGGTCGCAAAAAAATTCACCGCTCGGACTCAGAAATTTCAATATCGGACAATTGTGCGCTGACTCGTTTCAGATATTTGGCACGGTTCTTCTCAATGAGATTCCATTTTCGGTGTTTGTACGTTCTGTACCATTGCTGCGGTTCACTTCCCAGCGAAACATCTCTTTTGTTCACTTCACTCAGATTTATTTTTCCCGTCGTAATGCGTTCACAGGTTGCATTCGCATCCTGTGTTTTTTCCAGATCCTCTCTGGAAAGGTTTCCGAATAATGTTTGCGCCTCTAGTTGAAGTCAAAAAAAAAGCAAAGCTAAACAAAAAGTCGACTGCCAAAAAAACAAAGCTGAATAAAAAGACGTTCCTCCAAGCCTCCAAAGGAAATATGCTATTTGCCTATGCGAAAAGGCGGCTTACCTTATTGCTATAAGCGGAACTGCCGGAAAAGCCTGTTTGATTTTCATTGTCAGTGCATCGAGGTGCTCTGATGTGTTTCGCCTGTCCTTCCAATAATCATCTTTTCTCGAAGATGCTCCATGCAATCCGATGTTCAGCGAAATGCGGCGCTGCTGCTCGAGGTGTCGTCTCGCTTCTTCAACAGCATCGTGAGAAGTATACGAAGTCGCGACTATTCCTAAACAACAGAAAAACATTAAAAACTAATTCAATTCCTTGACCCCCACCACTCGCATTATTCATGAAGAATGGATAATGGGCGCACACCTAACTTAGCAGCCATGACGCTTGCAACCCTCGTTGTAAACTCTTCTGTTGATTCGCCCGGATCTGTCACACCAGCGCTCTTCCTGCGATGCAAAGGATGAAGCCAGCGGACCTGAAAACGCCTGTTCCAGATAATAAACAAGAGGCAGTGCACTTTCGGCCCTTTTCACCTAAAATGTGACAATTACTGAAATTACCCAGATCGCCTTACGGCGAACCGATGTTAATGATATTAACTGGTAAGCAATTCAGTTCAGAGCTGCATGTTTCCAGTACTTCACTGCTTGGTCGACAAAAGCCAGTTCTTCGTCATTTGAGTGACAGCTTATTTCCCCGCGGATTCTACTCACTGGTATGTGACGCCACGGAAATGACACTAAGAAATGATAGAGGTGGCAATCAGACTGGCAACGAAGATGAGGGCAAAGAAACTGCATGCTATTCCCAGAAGATTCCCAGAAGATGAACAATGGAAATGGCCTTGGCTTGCAACAAAAGCACAAGTGAAGAATGAAACTGCAATGTTCAGCCGATGTTTAAAAGATTCCCAGAAGAAACTTGTGCCTTTCTTCAATAAAAGCGAACAGTGCATATTGTGTAAAATATAAAATTCTAATTATAAAATTAATAATATTTTTTTCACTTTTTTAGCCTATAACTCAGGAATACAATTGCATTCCGGCGTGTTTACAATTTTGCTTCATTTTTGTCTAACCCTTTTTTCATACCTGTAAAAACCTTTTCGTTCCCCACTTATCTTCTTCCTTATCTTCTTTTGGCCCTCCACTCCCATTTCCTTTTCCTTTATCACCTTCTTTTACCTCTCATTTCTCAAAATTCCCTCCAAATCATTACATCCACGAGGCGGGCCCTAACTCCCTTCATAAATCACCCTTACCTTTCTTCATGACCTCAGCTTTTTCAGTCAGCCTCAGCTTCTACAACAGTCCTCAGTTTCTCCAACCAGCTTCAGCTTCATTAACCCCGCTCGCCAACTACATCTTCTGCTGACCTAATCTGCGATCACGACTAGTACTCGGACTTCTCCGTCTCGAAGCCAGGATTACTTGACCTCTCAAAAACCCCCTGCTAAATCCCCTGCCTGGCAGGCCATCCCGTCTGTCAGAGCCCAAGCGTCACGCTTTGTGTTATTACCTTTGTCTGTTCGTGACAAATAAGAAATAAATGGCCAACGCACGGGTTGCCCGTGCAAAGATGCGTTTTTTGCATAGCTTCCCGTAGATTTTTGTCGCTAAGGGAACTGTTTTTCCCGGCAGATGCTTCTAGCTAAAAGAATTTCAGATTGGCCGCCAGGACCGTCACGAAATATCCCTTCAAAATTCCAGTCTTCTAGCTTCTCAGGTTCACGAGTTATTAACTTACCCGAAAAAAACTTTCACGGGCCCATACTTGGGTACCACGCATCCCAGAGGCTAGGTTTGAACTCATTAATACCTACTTGGATAGGGAACATAACGTTAAAATTCCAATTCCCTAGCTTCTCAGGTCCCGAATTAGCAAATTACCCGAAGAAAATTTGGCGGGTCCGTACCTGGGTACCACGCATACCCGGTGTCTGGGTTTGAGATCATTGAGATTTACGTGGACAGGAAACGTCCCCTTAAAATTACAGTCCTAGCTTTCCAGTTTCCCGAGTTAGCGACTTATCCGAAGAAAACTTTGGCGAGTTCGTACGTGGGTACCACGCGGGTAAGAGCGCTCTTTTGAGGATTGGAGCCCGTAGTTGCATGTGAATTAAGTTCCCAAAGTTTCAGCCCTGTAGCTTTTACAGGTCTTGAGATGAAAAATCGGTACAGACGCACATACAGACACACAGATACACAGACAACCCCTCGTCAATATGCGTTTTCTGCATTGCATAGCTGCAAAA